AAAGAAAGAAAAAGAAAACGAGGGAGGTAAGATGAGTGGAAAAGAAAGAAGTAGGAAGAGAATGAGAGGAAGGAAAAAAGAGGGAAAGAAAGAAGGACCGAGGGAATGAAAGAGGGAGAGAAGGAAAACAAGAAAGAAGGAAGGTAGAGAAAGAAAGAAAACAAAGAAGGCAGGAAAAGAGAAGGAGAAAGAGAGGGAAGCGGCAGGCCTGGAGGGCAGAAAAGGCCCTTAAAAATAGGCTTCTTGGATCGTCTGTTTTTTCTCGTCTTGAGGAGCGGGCCAGACGTGGAGGCGACCCCGCTATAACGAACAGAAAATCGAGGGAATATTGCGGGAAAAAGAAGAAAAAGAAAATACGTTTTGTTACAGATTATTTGAATGTGTGAATGCCTGCACATGTGCGTGCGCTTGAGTGTGTATGTGCACATGTACGTGTAAGGGTTTGAATGTTACCTAAATTCCGATTCCCGTAAACGCGATAAAACATCAAAAAAGACATCTAAATAATATTAAAAAAGACAATTTTTAGGTGATTTTGAATTAGATCTAAGTTCCGATTCCCATAAACACGATGGAAACATAAAAAAAATGAATAAATAATTCAATAAAGACAATTTTCAGATAATCTAATCCGCGGTAAGGTGACGAAACGCTCCCACAGTCTTCGTCCTCCTCGCTCCGCACACATCAAAGTCAACCGATGAACACGCACACGCACGCACAACCCCCTCCCCCCCTCTCCCTTCCCCTCCTAACGCCCTCCCTTCTACTCCACCCCCTCCCCTTCCTTCCTTCCACTACTCCCCTCTCCCCTCCCCTTCCTCCTTTCCACTCCCCAACCTCCCTTCCCTCCTTTCCTTCCCTCCCTTCCCCCTTCCCCTTCCCTTCCCTCCTTCCCCTCCCCTTCCCCTCTCTCCCCTCCCTTCCTTCCACTCTCTTCCCCCCCCTCCCTTCCTTCCCACCCCCTTCCCCTTCCCTTCCTTCCATTACTCCCCCCCTTCTCTGCACGCCCATACGCCCACCTATCACAAGCATGCATGACTCGCGACCTTTCGTTATGGCATTTTGGTTAGGCCTACATGCGGACAGACTGGCCTCCTCCCCCTCCCCTCCCCCCTTCGTCCGCACAATGGACTGGTTCATGATGATTCTTCTCCCTTCTTCTGCATTCTTTGTTCTCAATCTTTACCCTTTCCTTTTTTTCTCTTTCGCTTGTCTTTTCTCCTCCACTCTTCCCTCTCTCTCTCTCTCTTTTCCCTCTCACTCACTCACTCACTCTCTCTCTCTCTCTCTCTCTCTCTCTCCTCTCTCTCTCTCTCTCTCTCTCTCTCTCTCTCTCTCTCTCCTCTTTCTCTTTCTCTTTCTCTTTCTCTTTCTCTCTTTCTTTCTCTTTCTCTTTCTCTTTATCTTTCTCTTTCTCTCTCTCTCTCTCTCTTTCCCCTCTTACTTTCCTCCTACCCTTTTTCTCTCTCGGTCGTTTTCCTCCTCCCCTCTTCCTCTTTCTCCTACTCCCCCCTTTCATCTTTCCATCCTTCACTCCATCTCCACCTCTAAAACCCTTCTATCCATTTCCTAATCCCCTCTTCCTCCTCTTCCCCCCGCCTCCCTCCCTCACACCCATACCTTTCCTTCCTCTTCCTTCTCCCCCTTTCTCTCCCACTGCACATACTCTCCCTTCCCTTCTCCCTCCCCCCTTCAGAAACCACGCCCATACCCTTCCCCTCCACATAGATGCGCCCATACCCTTCCTCTCCCTTCCCTTCCCTTCCTCCTCCCCCTTCCCTCCACATAGATGCACCCATACTCTTCCTCTCCCCTCCCTTTCCTCCCTCTCCCCTCCCTTCCTTCCCTCTCCCCTCCGTTCCCTCCCTCTCCCCTCCCTTCCCTCCTTTTCCCCTCCCTTCCCTTCCCCCTCCCCCTTCCCTCTTCACGCCCATACCCATCCTTTCTCAACCTCCCACATCCTCCTCCTACCCCACCCACCCCCACCCACCCATCCTCCTCCCGCCCACGTCGCAGCCACCAAAAGGGAAAATTTATAGGCCTATCGACAGTCAAAGTAAAACCGCTCTTTGGGTGAAATTCGAAGTAGGCTGTTCCGTATTGTTGTCGTCTTCGTTGTCGTCTTCGTTGTGATTCAGGAATTTAGGTCTAAGGCCAAGTGTTCCAGACTCGGATTTTGTTCTTCGCTTTCGTATGTACCTTTTTCATTTTTCTTTATTTTTTCTTTCTTTGTATCTTTTCTCTCCTTCATCCTCATTTTTCCTTCTTTTTCTACCTCTCCTCCTCCTCCTCCTCCTTCTTCTTCTCTTCTTCCTTCTTCTTCTTCTTCTTTCTTCTTCTTCTTTTCTCCTCCCCCTCCCCCTCCCCCTCCCCTCCCCTCCCCCTCCCCTCATCACCTTCACCTCCTCCACCTCCACCTCCTCTACCTCCCCCTCTCCCTCCCCTCATCTACCTTCACCTCCTTCACCTCCTCCACCTCCACCTCCTCCTCCTCTCCTCTTCCTCTTCCTCCTCCCTTCCCCTCCTCTACCTTCACCTCCTCCACCTCCACCTCCTCTACCTCCCCCTCCCTCCCCTCATCTACCTTCACCTCCTTCGCCTCCTCCCCCTCTACCTCCACTCCACCTCCACCTCCACCTCCACCCTTTCCTTCACCGGCCTACATATGCCCACCTTGGCCATGGTTCCTCACAGCAGTCCCGTGTCTGAAGAGGCCTCTTTGCCGAGACTTTATAGACTTAGGACAGACTTCTTCAGGAGGTACACTTTCATGGGAAATCTGGCTGGTAAGAGAGGAGAAGGGAAGGAGGGGGAGGGGAATGATAGAGGAAGGAAGGAAGGGGAGGGGGAATGAGGGAGAAGGGAAGAGAGAGGGAGGGAGGGGAAAGGAGAGCGAAGGGAGAGGAGAGGGGAAGAAGGGAGGAGGGAATACCTCAGAAGAAAAAATAAAGAATTAAAAAAATAATAATAAAACCACCACCAACACCAACACCAACACCACCACCACCACCAACAACAACAACAACAAAAACAACAACAACAACAACGACCCCAATTGACCACGAGGCCACCGTCACGAGACCCAGAGACACCAGCAATCCCATTTCACAAGAGGCAAGCGAAGGAAAATATTTGGAGAAGGTCCCCGGGACGCCTCAGATGAGAGGTCTTTGAAGGAAGGTAGGTGAGGGAAGGAGGAGGAAGGGAGGGAGGGAGGAAGGGAGGGAGGGGAAGGAGGGAGAGAGGAGGGACGGAGAGAAGGAAGAGGTAGAGACAGAAGGGGACGGAGGGAGTGAGGGAGAGAACAGGAGGAACATGGAGGAGTGAGGAGGGAAGAAAGGAAGTAGGGAAGAGTGGGGAAAGAAGGTGATATAAGAAGGAAGAAAAAAAATTGAGGAAAAAAAAAAGAAAAGAGAAAGGCAAGAAAAAATAAGGATAAAAGGAAGTAGCCGGAGAAGGAGGAGGAGGAGGAGGCGGAGGATGGAAGGAGGAGGAAGGAAAGCACACAAGGGCAGGAGGTCCATCCTTCTATCGCCGCCTTATACAGAGCATCCTGTGTGGGCTAAACCAATCCTTCGTGGCGGGTTCGGTTACTTTGCCTCTGGGGCGCCGAGGGAGGGAGGGAGGGAAAGGGGAAGGAGGGAGGAAAAGGGGGAAGGAGGGAAAGGGGGAAGGAGGGAGGGAAAGGGGAAGGAAGGGAGGAAAGGGGGAAGGAGGGATGGGAAGGGGGAGGAGGGAGGGAGGAAGGAGGGAGGGAGGGAGGAGGGAGGAGGGAGGGAAGGGGGAAGGAGGGAGGGAAAGGGGGAAGGAAGGGAGGAAAGGAGGGGGAGGAGGGGGAAAGGGGAAGGGGGAGGAAAGGGGGAAGGGGGGAAGGGGGAGGGAGGGGGAGGGAGGGAGGGAGGGAGGGAGGAGGAGGCGAGAGGAGAGAGAGAGAGAGGGAGGGAGGGGGGGAAGAGGGTGAAGGGAGGGCAAGAGGAAGAGAGAGCAAAGAACAAGGGAGAGGAGGGGTTGAAGGGGAAGAAGAGACAGGGGAAACAAGAGGGAGAGAGAGCAAAAACTAAAGGGGAAGGAAAAGAGAGAAGGAGAACCGAAAAGAAGCAAAAGAGATAGAAAGGGGGAAAAGAGAGAGGTTAAACATAGTGAGAGAGAGAAAAAAATCAAAACAGACAAACACATCAAGTGAACAAAAAAACAAAAAACAAATAAACAACCCACTTCTAATACCAACAAAAAAAACATTCAAAACCACACAAGAAAATCAAAACAATAAAAAACTAAACCCCCCAAAATAAGAAAAAAAAATCAAGACCACCACCAATGCAAAGACAAATACAAAGACAACAAAGACAATTAAGAAAAGAATCCGGCTATTCTGTCATACAGAATATTATCCTGGGCAGGTTAAGCCTTCCTTTCAATCCTTTCTCTGTCTCTGCAAACACACGAAGGGAGAGAGAAAGGGAGAGGAGAGGTAGGATTTCCCAACCCCTCCTCCTTCCTCCCCTCCCCCCCCCCTTCCTCTTCCCCATTCTCCCTTCCTCCCTTCCTCCTTCCTCCACCCTCCCCTCCCCCACTTCACTCCACCCTTCCCTCCCCCTTCTCCTCCTCCTCTCCCCTCCCACCCTCCTTCCACCCATCCCCTCCCCTTCATTCTCCCTCCTCATCCCTCCTCCTTCCCCCTCCTCTCCCTCCCTCCCCCCAAATCCCCGGAATTCCTCCCCGTCACTTGAGGGTCACTTTTCCCCTCAATCCCGGCGTGACAATGGCGGCGAGGAGAGAACACCGTGGGAATCCTTGGGGCCCTGTCCGGGGCTTTTTTTTTTTTTATTCAGATTTTCGTTATTTCCTTTTTTTCATCTCTTCGAGGTGCTTTCTTCCTTTTTTTTCCTTTTCCTTTTTCCTTTTCCTTTTCCTTTTCCTCTCCTGTTCCTTTTCCTTTTCCTCTCTTCTTTTCTTCTTTTCTTTCCCTTCTTGTTATCTCCTCTTCTCTTCTTTTTCCATCCTTTTTTTCATTCTTCTTTTCTTCTTTCTCTTACTTCATTCTTCTCTTTTTTCGCTTCTTTTCTTTCTTTATTCTTCCTTCTCTTCTTTCTTCTTCTTTCTTCTTCTTCTTTCTTCTTCTTCTTTCGAGGTGCGTTCTCACTTGCTCTTTCTCCCTCTTTCTTTTCCTTTCTTCTTTTTTTCCTCTCTTATCATTCTGTTTCTTTCATCTGTCATCTCGTCCACTATCCTATTCTATCTGTTTATCTATTACTTCTGTCATCTACACCTGTCCGTCTATCAGTCCGCTCGTCTTCTTGCTTGCTCTGCGCCACCCCCACCCTCCACTTCCTCTTCCCTCTGCCCTCTCGCCTTCCTCTCTCCCCTCCTCTCTCTCCCTCCCTCCCCTCCGACTCGTACCTCTCTCTCCTCTTCTTCCCTTTCTTTCTCTAATGATTCTCGGCTCTAGGTCCCGTCGAACTGGTCTGACTACGAACCGCCAAACGGCTATATTATGCGCCAGCGATTTTTTTTTTTTTTTCCGAAGAATATCATCATCAAATGCATCAATTTTTTTTTTTTTTTTTTTGAAGTAATAATCTCGGTGTGAAATCTCGCCGGAGGAATTTTGAAACCGGCGGACCAAGAATGTCCAAAAATCGAATTTTAAATTTGACATCCAGCTGTCCTCTAACGGCATTTCGCGCTGAAATGGATTCGGGTGCGTCTATAGAAAGATAGATAGATGGATAGATAGATAGATAGATAGATAGATAGATAGATAGATAGATATAGATATAGAATAGATAGATATAGATATAGATAGAATAGATAGATATAGATATACATGGAATAGGTAGATATAGATAGAATAGATAGATAGATATACATAGAATAGATAGATATAGATAGAATAGATAGATATAGACATATAGATATAGATAGAAACGATCGTATTTCTTAAATAAATGCACTCTAAGTACATGAAAACAATAAAAAAATCAAATTAATTATCGCATTAATCACTCTCAAAAAACTAAAATCAATGCATCTAAACATCTTACTAAAAAATAAAACAGACCTACATTAAAGAGATGCTCTAATAAGATGAATGAAAAGATATGATGGTATAATCATAATGATAAAATATAATGAGTAAAATGTTAATAGAATAATATAAAAAATAAAATAAAAACAAAATAATGGTAATATACTCAATAACAACAACACTAATATTAACAATAACAATAGTAACACACATAATAACACTGCCACCACTAACAATAACAATAAAAAACACTACCGATTAACCCCCCCCTATCCATCCCCTACCAACCCTCACAGGCTACCCCCCCCCCTTCCCCCCCACGTGGCTACGGACCAGTGTTTGCCAAAACCCCGACAAGAAAGCCAATCACGAAACAGCACGCGAGAGGCAGTCAGTCGAGAGGGGTGATAAATTCTCGTGAAAATATAGACTAGGGTGCTCGTTGAAAAAACCCTTGATTGAACCTCCGTTGAACTTCCGTTTGACCGGCCTCTGATGAACTCTTTTTTGAGAGGCCTCTGATAATCTTTCTTGAGGCCTCTGATGAGACTCATTTGAAAAGCCTATGATGAAACATCTTTTTGAGCCTCTGATTAACTCTTTTTGAGCCTCTGATGAACTCTTTTTGAGCCTCTGATGAACTCTTTTTGAGCCTCGATGCTCTTTTGAAAAGCCTCTGATGAACTCTTGTTTGAGACCTCTGATGAACTCTTTTTGAGCCTCTGATGAGACCTTTTTGAGCTCTCTGAATGAACCTCTTGTTTGAGCCTCTAAAGACTGTCTTTTTGAGCCTCTGATGAAACTCTTTTTGAGCCTCTGAAGAAACATAGAATCTTTTGAGCTTTCTGAAAACCCTCTTTTGAAGTGCCCTCTGATGAACTCTTTTGAGCCTTCTTGATGAACCCATCTTTTTGATGCCTCTGAATGACCGAACTCACTTTTTGAGGCTTCTGAATAGAACTCTTTTTGGGAGTCCTCTGATAACCTCTTTTTTGAGCCCTCTATGAGAAGCTCGTTTGGAGCCTCTGATAGAACCTTTTTGAGCTCTCTGATGAACTCTTTTGCGCTCTATGAACTCCTTTTTTGAGTCCTCTGAGAACTTTTTTTGAGCTTCTGAAATGAACGTGCAGTTTTTTTGAGCCCTGATGAATCTCTTTTTGAGGCCTTGATGAACTCTTTTTTGAGCCTCTGAGGAATCTTTTTGAAGCTTTATCTCTCTGATGGAACATCTTTTTGGGTCCTCTGATGAATCTTCTTTGAGCCCTACCTGATGACTCTTTTAGGCACTTCTGAATGAACTCCTTTTTTGGGCAGGCTTCTGATGAACGTCCTTTTTGAGCCCTCTGATGAACTCTTTTGAGCAGCTCCTGATGAACTCTTTTTGAAGCTCTGATGAACTCTTTTGAGACATCTTCCTGACTTTTTGAGCACTTCTGATGAACTCCTTTTTGAGCCTCTGAATGAACTCTTTGAGCCTCTGATGAACTCTCTTTTGAAGCCTCTGATGAACTCTTTTGAGCTTCTGATGAACTCTTTTGAGCCTCTGATGAATCTTTTTGAGCTCTTTCTGATGTGAACTCTTTTTTGACTTCTTTTTTGAGCCTCTGATGAACTCTTTTTGAGCTCTGATGAACTCTTTTTTGAGCTTGATGAACTCTTTTTGGAGCCTCTGATGAACTCTTTTTGAGCCTCTGATGAACTCTTTTGAGCCTCTTGATGAACTCTTTTTTTTGAGGCTTCTGGAATGAACTCTTTTTCTTGACTCTTTTTGAGCCTCTGATGAACCTCTTTTTTTGAGCTTCTGATGAACTCTTTTGTGAAGTGGCCTCTGATGAACTCTTTTTGGAGAGCCTCTGAATGATACTCTTTTTGAAAGCCTCTGATGAACTCTTTTTGAGCCTGATGAACTCTTTTGAGCTCTGATGAACCTCTTTTTGAGCTTCTGATGAACTCTTTTCTTGAGCTTTCTGATGGAACTCTTTTTTGAGCTCTGATGAACTCTTTTTTTGAGGCCTCTGATGAACCTCTTTTTGGAGCCTCTGATGAACTCTTTTGGCCTCTTGATGAGAACTCTTTTTGAGCCTTCTGATGAACTCTTTCCTCTGAGGCCTTTGAGCTGATGAACTCTTTTTGAGCCTCTATGAACTCTTTTGAGCCTCTGATGAACTGCCTTCCCTGATGAACTCTTTTTGAGCCTTGATGAACTGCTCTTTTCTGATGACCTCTTTTTTCTGATGAACCTCCTTTTAGCCTCTATGAGACTCTTTTTGAGCCTCTGATGAAACTCTTTTTTGAGGCCTCGGATTGAATCTTTTTGAGCCTGACTTCTTGATGAACTCTTTTGAGCCTTCTGATGAAGCTGCTTTTTTTGAGCATTCTGTTTTGACTCTTTTTGAGCCTGCGATGAACTCTTTTTGAGCCTTCTGATGAACTCTTTTGAGCCTCTGATGAACTCTTTTTCTGATGACTCTTTTGAGCCTCTGATGAACTCTTTTGAGCCTTGACTGAACTCTTTTTTGAGCGCTTCTGATGAACTATTTTTGAGCCTCTGATGAACTCTTTTTGAGCCTCTTGATGAAAACTCTTTTTTGAGGCCTCTGATGCTTTTTGAGCTTCTGATGAACTCTTTTTGAGCCTCTGATGAACTCTTTTTGAGCTTCTGATGAACTCTTTTTTGATGCCTCTGATGATAACTCTTTTTGAGCCTCTGATGAACCTCTTTTTGAGCCTCTGATTGAACTTCTTTGAGGCCTCTGATGATACTCTTTTTTGAAGCTCTGATGAACTCTTTTTGAGCTCTTGATGAACTCTTTGACCTCTGAATGAACCTCTTTTTGACTGAGAACTCTTTTTGAGCCTCTGATGAACTCTTTTTGAGCCTCTGATGAACTCTATTTTTTGAGCTTTCTGATGAAAACTCTTTTTGAGCCTTGATGACTCTTTTGAGCCTCTGATGAACTCTTTTTGAGCTCTGATGACTCTTTTTGATGATGAAACTCTTTTTGAGCCTCGTCTGATGAACTCTTTTGAGCTCTCTGATGAACTTCTTTTGAGCTCTGATGAAACTAAATCTCTTTTGAGCCTCTGATAGAACTCTTTTTGACTGATGAACTTTTTTGAGCCTCCTGATGAACTCTTTTGAAGCTTCTGATGAAACTCTTTTTGAGCCTCTGAATGAAAACTGATGAACTCACTTTTTTTGAGCCCTCTGATGAACTCTTTTTTGATGAGCCTCCTGAATGAACTCTTTTTGAGCCTCTGATGAACTCTTTTTGAGCTTCTGAGCCTCTGATGAATCTTTTTTGAGGCCTCTGATGAACTCTTTTTTGAGCTCCTCTTTTGAGCCTTATGAACTCTTTTGAAGCTTTGTCTTTTTGAGCCCTACTGATGAACTCTTTTTTGACTGATGACTCCTTTTTGAGCTCTGTGAACTCTTTTTTTCTGATGGACTCTTTTTGAGCTTTCTGATGAACCTTTTTTGAAGCCTCTGATGATTGAGTTGAACTTCTTTTTGCTGATTCTTCTGATGAACTCTTTTGAAGCCTCTGATGAACTCTTTTCTGATGCCTTCTGATGAACTTTTGTTTTGATGCCTTCTGATGAACTCTTTTGAGCCCTGATGAACTCTTTTTGAGCCTCTGATGAACTCTTTTTGAGCCTCTGATGAACTCTTTTTGAGCCTCTGATGAACTCTTTTTGAGCCTCTGATGAACTTCTTTTTGAGCCTCTGAGATGAAGCCTTTTTGAAGCTTCTGATGAACCTCATGTTGAGCCTCTGATGAACTCTTTTTGGAGCCTCTGATGAAACTCATTTTTGAGAGCTTCTGATGAACTCACTTTTTTGAAGCCTCTGAAATGAACTCCTTTTGAGCCTCCTGATGAACTCTTTTTGAGCCTCTGATGAACCTCTTTTTGAGCCTCTGATGAACTCTTTTTTGAGCTCTGATGATGGAAACTCTTTTTTGAGCCTCTGATGAACTTCTTTTTTGAGTACCTGAGGCCTCTGATGAACTCTTTTTTGAGCTCTGATGAACTCTTTTTGAGCCTCTGATGAACTCTTTTTGAGCCTCTGATGAACGTCTGAGCCTCTGATGAACTCTTTTTGAGCTCTGATTCTGAATGAACCTTTTTGAGCTCTGTGAATGAACTCTTTTTATGAACTCTCTTTTTTGATGTGCCCTCTGATGAACTCCCTTTTTTGAGCTTCTCTGATGAACTCTTTTTGAGCCTCTGTTCTGATGAACTCTTTTTGAGCTGATGGAACTCTTTTGTGAGCTTCTTGATGAACTCTTTTTTGAGCCTCTGATGAACTCTTTTTGAGCTTCTGATGAACTCTTTTTGAGGCTTCGCTGATGAGCTCTCTGAGCTCTGATGAAACTCTCATTTTTGACTCTGATGAACTCTTTTGAGCTTCTGATGAACTCTTTTTTGAGCCTTTTGAATTGATTGAGCTTCTGATGAAACTCTTTTTTTTGAACTGGAGCCTCTGATGAACTCTTTTTTGAGCCTCTGAATGAGAAATCTTTTTGAATGAAACTCTTTTTGACTCTTTTTTGAGCTTCTGATGAACTCTTTTTGAGCATCTGAGCTCTGATGAACTCTTTTTTGAGCCTACCTGATGAACTCTTTTTGCTTCTGATGAACACTCCTTTTTGGAGCCTCTGATGAACTCCTTTTTGAGCTTTCTGATGAACTCTTTTTGAGGCTTCTGATGAACTCTTTTTGAGCTTCTGATGAACTCTTTTTGAGCCTCTGATGAACTCTTTTGAGTCTTCTTGAATGAGACTCTTGTATCTTTTTGAGCCCTCTGATGAAGAACTCTGCTATTTTTTGACCTCTGAATGAACTCTTTTTGGAGCTTTCTGATGAACTCTTTTTTGAGCTCTGAATGAACTCTTTTGAGCCTCTGATGAACTCTCCTGATGAACTCTTTTTGATGAACTCTTTTTTCTGATGCTCTTCTGATGAACTCTTTTTGGGAGCTTTTCTTGATGAACTCTTTTTGAGCTTTCTTTGATGAACTCTTTTTGAGCCTGATGAACCTTTTTGAGCCTCTGATGAACTCTTTTTGAGCCTCTGATGACACTCTTTTTGAGCCTCTGATGAACTCTTTTTGAGCCTCTGATGAACTCTTTTTGAGCCTCTGATGAACTCTTTTTGAGCTTCTGATGAACTCTTTTTTGAGCCTCTGATGAACTCTTTTTGAAGCCTCTGATGAACTCTTTTTGAGCTTCTGGATGATCACTCTTTTGGAGCCTCTGATGAACTCTGTTTTTGAGCTTCTGCTGAATCTTTTTTGAGCCTCTGAGAACTTCTTTTTGAGCCTCTGATGAACTCTTTTTGAGCCTCTGATGAACTCTTTTTGAGCCTTTGATGAACTCTTTTGAACCTACGTTGACCTCCTTTGAACCTCCGTTGACCTCTTTTGAACAGACGTTGACCTCTTTTGAACCTCCGCTGAACTCTTTCGAACCTCTGTCAGACCTCTACTGCCCCTCCTTTGAATCTACCCTTCACCGAATCCCCCTCGAACCTCAATCAAAACCCCTTAAAAACCTCCGTTGAACCTCTATTTGAACCTGAAGAACCACGTTACACTAACCCTCGCCCACTCACTCTTGGGGGGGGGGGGGGGAGAGGCACCACACGTATATTCCTTTTAACTGTTTCTCCCTTCCTTTTACTAACTTTCTCCTTGCTTCAACTGTTTCGCCCTTTCTTTTAAAACTGTTTTTTTTTCCTTACTTAAACTGTTTTTCCCTTCCTTTTAAACTTTTCCTTTCTTCTCCCTTTTCTTTTAAACTGTTTCTTCTCCCTTCCTTTTAAACTTCTCCTTCCTTTAAATTTGTCTCCCTTCGTTTTTAAACGTTTCTCCCGCTTCCATAAACTGTTTCCCCCCTTCCTTTAAACTGTTTCTCCCTTCCTTTTAAACTGTTTTTCTCCCTTCCTTTAAAAACTGTTCTCTCTCTTCCTTTTTAAACTATTTCTCCCTTCCTTTTAAAACTGTTTCTTCCCTTCCTTTTAAACTTTCTCCCTTCCTTTAAACTTTCTCCTCCTTTAAACTATCTATCTTCTCTTCTCCTTTCCATTTAAGCTATTTCTCCCTTCCTTTATCCATCGTCGTTAAGTATACAAACTACAACAGAAGGAGGTTGTTAAGGATCGACACGAGACGCCGTTATTGGCAGAGAAATAAATCAAGGGCTATTTAAGTCCTGATTTAGACCTCGGGATAAATCACTCGGATATCTAAGTATATAATAAATAAGAAAGAAATAAAGTATAATAAGTGAATAAAGAACGAAAGAAGGATGAGGGAGTTATGTCGGATACCTAAGTAATATAATAAAGAAAGAAATGAGTAAATAAATAAAGAAAGAAAGAAGGATGAGGGAGTTTATGGATCGTGTCATGGTCTCGTCGCTACTCTGATCGATACAACAAGCTTGGCAACAACTTAAGCTTTGTGTCTGGCCTTCTCGATCTTTCATTCTTTCGCTCTTTCGCTCTTCGTTTCGCTCTCGCTCTCTCTCTCTCTCTCTTGTCTTTCTCTTTCTCGATCTTGCTCCCTTTCGCTTTTCCGGTTTCGCTCTTGCTCTTGCTCTCTCTCTCTCTCTCTCTCTCTCCCTCTCTCTCTCTCTCTCTCTCTCTCTCTCTCTCTCTCCTTCTCTCTCTCTCTCTCTCTCTCTCTCTCTCTCTCGAGCGTGCATGACGAAGTAGCTATCATTCCCCTTCCCCTCTCCCCTTTTTCTTCCTCTCTCCTTCGACCCTCCCTCCTCCATCATCCCCTCCCTTCCCCTACCTCTCCCTCCCTCCTCCCTCATTCCCCTCCCTCCCCCTCCTCACACCTCCCTCCTCCCTCCCTCTCCCTCCTCTCCCTCACACCTCACCCCCCTCCCTCCTCCCTCCCTGCCTCACTCCCCCCGCCTTCCTCGTATTGACCTGTGAGTGCACACGAGCTACTCACTCCCTCGTCACTCCCCTTCTTTACGTCCGCCTTCGTGCCAAGTCGCAATTCGTGCATGCAATGCTCATGCTCGCTTGGGATACCGATTATTCAATATCACTTGCCTTTTTTGAGACATTGATTGTGTTTTCTCTTTTATTTTTTTGTTTTTTTTAAAGTCTATTGTTTTGAGTTGCGTTTTGAGTTTTTCGTATGCTTATACATATATACACATACATATATATGTATATTCACACACACACAACACATTATATATATATAATATATATATATAATATATATATATATATATATATATATATATATATATATAAATATTATATATTATATATATATATTATATAATTATATATATATATATATATATATATATATATATTATATATATATATATTATACATATATATATATCCATCTTCCTTTCCACTTCCTCCTTCTCCTTCCTCTTTACTCTCTCCCTCCCTCTTTCCCCATCACCCTTTCCACTTGCTCTCCTCATCTCCCTTTCTCCCTTCTCCCTTTCTACTTACTTAATCCCTCCCTACCTCCCTCCCTCTTTCTCCATCATCCTTTCCACTTGCTCTCTTCATCGCCCTTTATCCCTTCTCCCTTTCTACTTAATCCCTCCTTCTCTCCCTCCTCTTTTCTCCCATCACCCCTTTCCACTTCCTCTCTTCATCTCCCTTCTCCCTTTTCCATCACCCTTCCATTCTCTCTTCATCTCCCTTTCTCCCTTCTCCATCACCCTTTCCACTTCCTCTCTTCATCTCCCTTTCTCCCTTCTCCCTTTCTCCTTCGCACCTCCTCACCAAACCCACTCGCACCGCAGTCTCCGCTTCTTTCATAAATAACTAATTCTTAACCTTGACATTTGTCGGGAATTCAGTTCGATAAAATTCCTATATTTTTTATAAATATATATATATTTTTTTTTGTTCAGTGCTGGAGAAAGTTTATAATATTCTACGATTTTAAGTGGTTGAAATCTCCTTTTTGAAAAATGAAGGTTGACAAAATATTATGATTATGATAATTACTGACTCACTGGCGGTTATAGACACACACACACACACACACACACACACGCAGCGCGCGCATTGCATATTACACAGACAAAGACACGCAGACACAGACACACACACGACGAACACACCCGACCCCAACACCCAGCCCTCCACACTCTAGCATTTCGCCAAATCTCCCCCCCCCCCACCACAAACATCCATCCCACCCCACCCCACACAAAATATCCCAAACCCGACTCCCAACCTCCTCCCCCACAACCAAACCCCACCTTCTCCCCACACAACCCCTCCAACCCCTTCTCCACCCCACACACATCTCCAACCCCCATCCCTCCCACCTTCCCCCACACATCCCCCATCCCCCCCCACCTCCCCCCCCATACAACCCCAGCCCCCACCCAGCCCCTCCTCCCTCCCTCCACACAAACACACACCTCTTGTCTTGAAAGGGTGCGCTAATTGCGTGGCCAGGTTTGCGGGGGGGCAGGTGTTCACGGCCATCTGCCCAGCCGGAGGGTGTGGGAGCGGGGTGGGGGGGGAGGAGGGGGGGGGATAGGGGTTGAAGGGGGGGAGGGGAATAGAGGAAGGGAAAGGGAGGGGAGGGGTGGAGGGGGAATAGAGGAAGGGGGAAAGGGAAGGGAGGGTAGGAGGCGGGTGGGGAGGCGAAGGGAGGGAAGGGGTTGAAGGCGGGAGGGTGTGGGAGGCGGATGGGGGGGGCGAAGGGAGGGGGAAAGGGGGGTTGGGAAATAGAGGAGGGGTAGAGAAAGGGGGAAAGGGAAAGGGTGGCGCGGAGGGGATAGAGGATAGGGGGAAAGAAAGGAGAATGAAAAGATGAGAGGAATGCGAAAGGGGAAAGGGAAGAGGGATAGTATACGGGTACAGGGAAGGAAAGGGAAGAGAAAAGAGAAGAGAAGACAAAAGATAAGAGAAAAAAAAGAAAAAAAGAAAGGAAATGAAAGAAAAGGAAAAGAAGAGAAAAGAAGGGAAGGAAAGAGACAGAGACAAGTGCAAAAAGAAAAGAAAAGAGACAAGAGAAAGAGAAGAAGAGAAAAGACCAGAAAAAAAAAGAAAGGAAAAGAAAGAGAACACAGAAGAAGAGAAGAGTAAGGGAGAGAACCGACTCTTCTCCTATCCTCCCTTGGGACGATTCCCCTTGGACATCTACCCGGAGTTACCCAAGATATAATTCCTCGCCCCCGCCCCCCACCCCCCCCCCCCCGTATTCTTGCAACTTCTAGCACAATCCGGCTAGATGCATATTCATTCAGTGTTTAATACATTACATCAACTCTTTATTTTATCATTTGCGATTATAATCCTCTTTCTCTAACTCTTGCTTCATGATTCTCTACCCTCTTTCTCTTTCTTCTTTCTTTACTTCTCTCTCTCCTCCTTCTCCTCTCACATCCTCCCTCCCTCTCCCTCTCTCTTCTCCTCCCACCTTCTCCCTCTCTCTCTTTTATCCTCCCTCCCTTCCATACCCTCTCCCTCTCCTCTATCCTCCTCTCTATCCTCCCCCCCCCCCCCCTCTTTCTCACCCTCCTCTCGCCCTATCCTCCTCTCTCTCCCTCTTCTCCTCTCTTTCACCCTAATCCCTCCCCTATCCTTCCCTCTCTCCCTCCCTCCCCTAATCCTCTCCTTCTCTCTCCCCCTCCCTCTCCAACACCGCACCATCCACCGTCAACAACCGCCCCCCTCGACTTCTCTCCAAAGCAACGGTACTTTCACCATCTGCACCGCACCACCTGCACCATATCGGGGCCCAAATTGACACTATCAACCAGACACCTTTAAATAACAACACACTCGGATTTAGCGTTTAACCCGTTAACGATAACAACGACATCCCCTTTGCAGTTCAGTCAAGAAATAACTCGCGATTACGTCCAAAAAAAAAAGAAAACGTAAAAAAAAAAAAAAAAAGGAATTGACATCCAGCACCCGTACTTTCATACTTGAAAAAATCGTGGTGATGGCTTCCGCGCTCCGTTCATGCCGAAATGGCCCGCGTGCTGTCTCTGGACGTCACGGGTACCGATGCCAAAGCCACGCCCCCGGCTGCGCGGCCTGCCGACTCGCACAGGTTTCATTCATCACGTGGGGATCTGAATGCCCGGATCCGAAGGGCTGTGGCGACGCTGAGGGTCCAGTGACTAATTTCATTTTTCGCATTATTGCCATCGTTATCATCGCGTTTTTTTGTTGTTGTTTCGATCATCAATATATTATCATCATTAGTATAATTAACTATCATTATCATCATTATATTATTTATTGTTTATTAATAATATTATTATTCATTATTATCAATTTGTCGTTATTCATCATCATATAAAAAACTCATTACCATCAAGTCTTACTATCATTAAAATCATCATCATCGTATCATTATCAATACCAATTACCAATATCATCATCTATCATCATTTCCTTCTCCTTCTCCTTATAACCATCATCATCTATCTATCGCCCAAGAATCTGATTCAACATCCCCCCCTCCCCCCACCCAACCACCTAACCTTTCAGCAAGCACAATTAAACACATTTTTTTTCAAACGGCAGAGGCAATTTAGGCCAAGGGTGGGGGAAGGGGGCAAGGTGCAGGGCAAGGTGAAAGGGGGAGGGAGTGGAGGGGGGGAAAGGGAGCAGGGGGCAGCAGAGGGGGGAGGGATGTAGGAGGAGGTTCACCACCTTCACCGAATAAAATGCAAATCAAATCTTTTTCCTTGTCTTTAATTCTCTGTTCAAAAAAGTGTTCAAACATCCACGTTCCCATCCCTCCAGAAAGCGTGCGGCGAGGGGGCCTGCGGTGCACACAGCCGAACGTATTGCATGCAACACCAGCGCGGCGTCCAGGCAGAGAGATCGTAATATGCAGAAAGATCAACATATATTGCAACCTAATATGTGTGTGAGCGCTTTTTGCGTGCGGTTTGCGTGAGACCGCCAGGGGTCGTGAGAGAGAGAAGAAGAGAGGAGAGAGGAGAGAGAGAGAGAGAGAGAGAGAGAGAGAGAGAGAGAAAGAGAGAGAGAGAGAGAGAGAGAGGGAGGGAGGAGGGAAGGAGGAGGGGAGAGGGGAGGGAGGGAGGAGAGAAGAGAGGGAGGAGGGAGGGAGAGAGAGAGAGCAGAGAGGAGAGAGAGAGAGAAGAGAGGGAGAGAGAGAGAGAGAGAGAGGAGAGGGAGGGAGGAGGAGAGGAGGGAGGGGAGGAGGGAGGGAGAGAGGAGGAGAGACGAGAGAGAGAGAGAGAGAGAGAGAGAGAGAGAGAGAGAGAAGAGAAGAGAGAGAGAGAGAGAGAGAGGAGAGAGAGGAGAGAGAGAGAGGAGAGCGTGTGTATGCGTGTCAGTGTGTATGCATGTGCATTTGGTTACATGCGTCGTCTGTATGCTTGTCCGTGTGTAAACGCGTCCATGTATGCTTGTGTGTTCTTTCATTCCTCTTTTAAAATATACCGACACCCCCCCCCAAAAAAAACAGGTCAAAACACGACCTCCACACATTGCAATACCCGCGCCCTTTCGTTAATCAACCAACACATCCATTTCTTAAAAAGTTTTATCAAATAATTACAAGACCTTATACATTACGGACTTCCAAACGAGTAACTTAGTCCTCTCTAACGACCTTGTTTTTCGTTATTACAAATGAACATTTCAATTAACACCAGCTTTCAACACCGGCTTTCATTGCAGCTGCATGTTGATGGGAGATTTGAAACTAGTGTTTTTTGGGTGATTAGGAAATCCTGTGAAGAAGAAAAAGAAGAGGAAGATGAAAAAAAATGAAAAGAAGAAGAAATAAGAAAAAGAAAAGAAAGAAAAGAGAAAGAGAAAAGAGATGAAAGAGAAAAAAGAAGAAAAAAACATAAAAGAAACAGAAAAAAGAAAAAAAGAATAAAAAAAAGAAAGAAGAGAAAAGGAAAAAAAAAAAAAAAAAAAAGAAAAGAAGAAAAAGAAAAAAAAAAGAAAAAAAAAAGAAAAAAACAGAAAAAGAAAGAAAAAAAACCCGCCCCCCGCCCCGTCCTACAGACAGTGAACCAACAAGCACAAGCAGATGGACGCACGCAGACTCCGTGCTTGATCTGCCGGGCAAGCAAGACGAGTCTGCTTGCAAGCACCCTGCAACCTTGCACGGCGGTTGCATAATAAAGGGCGAGCGAGAAAGAAAAAGAGATGGGGGGCGATGGAGGGAGGAGGGGGAAGGGGGGGGAAGGAAACTGAGGAATTGGGGTAGGGGAAGGGGGAGGAGGGGGAGGGAGGAAGGAACTGGTGAGGAGAGGAAGGGGGGATAGGGAAGGAAACTAGGGAAGGGGAGGGAGGGGACTGATGGAGGGGGAGGAGAAGGGGGGAAGGAAACTGAGGAATGTGGAAGGGGGGAAGGAAGGAAATTGGTGAGGGGAGGGAAATTGGTGAGGGGGGAAAGGAGGGAAACCTAGGAGGGAGAAAGGAAGAAGGAGGAGGGAGATGGGAAAGGGGGAGGGAGGGAAAGGAAAATGAAGGAGGGTGAAGGAACATGGGAATTGGGAAAGGGAGGAGAGGAGGGAAGGTAACTAAAAAAAAACGAGGAAAGGATATTTGGGAAATGGAAGAAAGGGAGGGAAGAGAAGAAATCTGAGAGGAGGAAAGGAAACAGAGAGAGGGAAGAAATCTGGGAGAGGGATAGGAAGAGAGGAGGTCAAAGGATCAAGGGAGGGAAGCGAAGACAGGCAGAAGTAGAGAGTAAGTGGCAGGCTCTTCGGGTAAATCCGTTGGGGTAAGTAGTCACTTAGGTAAGAGGAATCGGGTACGTAGTGGTAGGAGTAAGTACGAAGTGGTAGAACTAAGTGGCCTCTGGTAAATCGCTTGGCTTCAAGTGGCTCGGATTAAGTGAGAGAGAGAGAGAGAGAGAGAGAGAGAGAGAGAGAGAGAGAGAGAGAGAGAGAGAGAGAGAGAGAGGAGAGAGAGAGAGAGAGAGAGAAGAGAGAGAAAGAAGAGAGAGAGAGAAGATGGTGGGGAGGAAGAGGGATGAGAGAGATGGAAAATAGAGGGAAGGACAGACGGGCATAAATGAGGAGGGAAGAGCAGAGGAGAGCCTGAAGAAAGAGAAGAATGGTGAACGGAGAGAGAATAGAGGAGTGGTGGAGAGTGAGGGAAATTAAAACAGGCAGGGAGAACGTAAAAAAAAAAACAAGGAGATGGAGAAGAAAGAAAAGGAGGAGGAGGAGATGGGAAATGAAAATGAAATGGAAATGGAGAAGGAGAATAATAATAAGAGAAATCAGAAGAAGAAGGAGAATGAAAATGAAATGGAGAAGGAGAAGAGAAATTAGAAGAAGGAGGAGAATGAAAATGAAATGGAAAAGGAGAAGGAGAATAATAAGAGAAATTAGAAGAAGAAGAATTAGCAGAAGGAGACGGAGAATAAGAAGAATAATTAGAAAAAAAAGGAAGAAGAAGAATGCCGACGACCCCCCTCGCCCCCCCCCCCCACCACCCCCTTCCCCAGCTCTGCAAAAGGGCGTCGCCACCTCCGCGGGATCACATCTGTAGGGTCAGCCGCCATCGCACCACCCAACCTCCGACTTAGGAACCCCCGTAGATAAGGGCGATGCTCCCCAACCGCGCGGAAGGATACCTGACCCTTATGAACGCGTGACGTGCGGGTCAGACTCCCTTCCCATCCCACCCGGTCCTTTTATCGTCCGAAAAGCCATTGCAAGTGCACTAAGACTCACCTGTTCGGCCGCACTTACGAATCCCGGCACTTACAAAAGGCTTATTCGAGGGGTATACATCGCGATCTGTTAAGTACGTGGGTGCCTGTTAAATCCTGTAAGTACTTGGGTGTTAAATAGTCGATTCCTGTAAGTACTTGGGTGTTAAATAGTCGATTCCTGTAAGTACTTGGGTGTTAAATAGTCGATTCCTGTAAGTACTTGGGTGTTAGATTCATAAAAAAAATCTTTATCGATGCACGAGTCGGATTTTTACTCACTGGACGCGTCTGACTTCTATTACTACTATAACTACAATTATTACTACTAGTAATCGGTCGGTTTGCTAAAACTGTGCCAGGCCCGACCTAACAGACACTCACCTAATAGACACCTAATGCACATATACAAAAATAAATGCATATCCATCAGTCTAGACATGGATATCTATCGTAGAGACAGAAAAAAAAAATAAGTATATTTATCTGATAGATCGATAGATGTGCATTTATTTCTATGTATATGGATGTCTGTTTGTACGAATATTCGTTGGGTCGGGCCTGGCACAATTTTAACAAACCGGCTGATTATTACCACTGCTACTAACACTTACTAACGCTACTACTGCTGCTACTACTATTACTATGACTGCTACTACCACTACTGCTAGGACTACTACAGCTAACAATAATGGTTAATTATAATGATAATGACGATGGTAATAATAATAATGATAATAAAATAACAGCAACAACAGCAATAATAAATAAACATAAAATGGATAACAAAATGATAATAATAAAATTAATAATAACAATAATGACAATTACAACATAATAATGATAATAATAATAATAATAATAATAATAATAATAATAATAATAATAATAATAATAATAATAATAATAATAATAACAATAAAATAACAACACCACAAATAATATAATAATAATAATAATAATAATAACAATATGAACAACACGTAACAAAAAACAGAGAACCATAATCACCCACTTTAAGAAAAACCGAAATTCCAGAATCCCCCGAACACGCCGCCGCTTTCCCACCAAACAAGGTCACGGCAGAACCCCCGTCATCCCGAAACTAAAAATAAATAGTCTACCCCATAAAGAAGTAAAAAAAAAAAAAAAAAAAAAAAAAAAAAAAAAAAAAAAAAAAAAAAAAAAAAAAAAAAAAATAAAAATATTTAGATAAAAAAAAATTCTAAAACGCCATGCAAATGAACTAACTGGTCGCATAGTCAGCGAGACGACCTGGGTATGGGCATGTGGGGTACCTGGCGAAAGGGTGGGGAGGGGGGAAGGGGGAATGGGGTAGGGGGAGGTGGGAAGGGGTAGGGAGGGGGGGGGGGTACCTGGGGCGGGAGGGGAGAGGGAGGGGGAAGGGAGAGAGGGGAAGGGGTAGGGTACTGCCGGAGAAAGTGCTTCGGTCAGCGGGCAACGGTCAGACACTAGACACAGCCTCGCATACCAAAACACAGGGGGGAGGAAGAATAAGAAGAGAAGGAAGGAGGATGGAGGAGGAGGAGGAATGGAGGAAAGGAGGAGGATGGAGGAGGAGGAGGATGGAGGAGGAGGAAGAAGGGGAGGAGGGGGGAGGAGGAGGAAGGAAGGGGAGGAGGAGGAGGAGGAGGAGAAGAAGGAGGAGGAGGAGGAGGAGGAGGAGGAGGGGGGGAGGAGGAAGGAGGGGGAAGGGGGAGGAGGAAGAAGGAGGAAGGAGGAGGGGAGGGAGGAGGAGGAGGAGGAGGAGGAGGAGGAGGAGGAAGGAGAAGGAGGAGGAGGAGGGGGGGAAAGAAAAAAATAGATAAATAATAAATAAGAAGAAGACGAAGAAGAAAAAAGGTCAGGTCATCACACGTAGGGTTACTACAGTGGTGTGGAGACTATCGGAGCAATTAGGCCTATGTTTTGTTTTGTTTTCGTCTTCACAAATTGAAACGAATCAACGCACACCCGCACGCCCACTCACTCACACGCAAAAGTACAACCTCTCTCTCTCTCTCTCTCTCTCTCTCTCTCTCTCTCTCTCTCTCTCTCTCTCTCTCTCTCTCTCTCTCTCTCTCTCTCTCTCTCTCTCTTTCCCTCTCTCTTTTCTGCTCTCTCTCTCTCTCTCTCATCTCTCTCTTTCACTCTTTCTCCCCCCCACTCTCTCTCTTTCACTCTCTCACACACAAAATAAATAAAAATGAAAAAAAATAAAAAATAAAGTTATAGCCCGACCTGGCCATCAGCTACGTATCAGATAGGCCTACAAACAGGCTTACGTTTAGCACCTGCTTCCTCACTGGCTTGTCTCCCTACCCATCTCCAAACAAGTACCCACCTACAAGCAATAAATCAAACCTATAAACAGAATATATAATCTATTACACGCCCATCCCCTTTTTGTCCTCATTCTTAGACTTTCTATTTTACCCTTTTCATCTATTTCTTACTATTAGCGTCTTTCGTTCAGCCCCTCGTCTTTTTTCTTAATATTTTCTTAATATTTTCTTAATTCCGAATCTTCCTTTTGATGGCGATAGAAAATCTGTTTGTGTTTTCGGAGATGGGATGATAAGCGGGAGTCGGGCGGGGAGGAGGGAGGAGGGAGAGGGAAAGAAGGGAGGGAGGGGAGGGAGAGGGAGAGGGAGAGGGAGAGAGGGAGAGGGAGAGGGAGAGGGAGAGGGGAGAGGGAGAGGGAGAGAGGGAGAGAAGAGAGAGGGAGAAGAGAGAGAGAGAGAGAGAGAGAGAGAGAGAGAGAGAGAGAGAGAGAGAGAAAGAGAAAGAGAATGAGAAAGAGAAAGAGAAAGAGAGAGAAAGAGAAAAGAGAAAGAGAAGAGAAAGAGAGAGAGAGAGAGAGAGAGAGACCGAGAGGAATTGTAACTGAATATGGATAGTAAGATAAAGAATAAAGACGAAGACGATGACGATGACGGTGACGACGTAGAGGCAGACGATGAGAGACCCTTTCCCCTAACGCTTCGAAACCTCTTCACCTCTCTTATCGCGCCCTCTCGATAAGAGAGAAAGAGGGACCTAACACCAAGGAGAATAACCACTTTATCAACCAAGATTCATCCAACACCTCCGTTTCCCCTCTTTCACTCTCTCCCCTCTTCCCCTCTCTCTCCTCTTCCCCCCTCTTCACACCACACGGTTAGGTCTGTCTTCCTTATCGCCCAGTTTCTTAGCTCCCCTGTCTCTGTCTGTATTTTTCTCTTTTCCCTTTCACTTTATTTATTTTTCTCTCTCTCCCTCTACCTCCTCTCCTCTCTTCTCTCGACACGGTTAGGCCTGTCTTTATTATCGTCGTCTCTTGGCTCTCTCCTCTCTCTCTCTCTCTCTCTCTCTCTCTCTCTCTCTCTCTCTCTTCTCTCTTCTCTCTCTCTCTCTCTCTTCTCTCTCTCTCCTCTCTCTCTCCCTCTCCTCCCCTCCCTCTCTCCTCTCTCTTCTCTCATCCGACCCCCCCCCCCTTATCAACAAACCCTGAAAACATAAACAAACTTTCTATCGCCATCAAAATACCCCCCCCCACCCCCACCCCCACCCTTCGACCTTAGCCGGCGGACAATAGAGCTTGTTAATAAAATAGAAAGGCAAAGATTCTCCCTATCTATATTCAAACGGTGTGAAACAGGAAGGGAGGGAGAGGGAAAGAAAAAAAAGGGAGGAATGAAATAATGAAGCAAAAACAAACTGCCTTTGTGAATCTTTTTTTTTTTTTTTTTATCGGACAGAATGAATTTTTTTTTTTTTTTAAAGTCGAATCATAATTGCGACACACACCTACCCCCACTTGTTTCGCCCGCACGCCCGTGTGAAGAAACTCGCACAGCTGATCGCCTTCCCCCCTCCCCCAACTTTTCCTCACCCCCTTCCCCCACCTCCCACCTTCCCTTCCCCTTCCCCCACCTACCCGCGTACCATTTTTCTCAAAACAAAAAAAAAAAAAAACAATGAGAGATCTAGAGTCGCTAAGAAAAAATCACCCCCTTCCCCCCCACCCACCTCCTCCCCCGTACCATTTTCTTAAAACAAAAAAAAAAGAAAAAACAATGAGAGATCTACACTGTATGAAAAAATCCCCCCTTCCCCCCCACCCTTCCCTCCCTACCCCCGCACCCTTTTCATAAAACAAAAAAACAATTAGAGATCTTCAGTCTTTATGGAGCCCTCGCCTTCAGCTCGAGAACCTCACCCGAAGACAATAAAGCCACACATCCGCCGCGGGTACGAAGAGGGGGGGGGGGAAGCTCAGGAGTGGCAAATGTCGGGTTTCCTTTTCCCAGAAGCTATTTCGTCCCGGGGCTAAATAAATCCAGGAAAGGGGTGAGGAGGGAGGGAGGGGAAGGAGGGAGGGAGAAGGGAGAAGGGGTTTCTCTCCAACAGAAAATCCCTTTTAACGACTCCTTAAATGCACAATTTCCTTAGACGCGCCTCATCGACAAACATTCCTGCTCACGAGGTACTGGACACCAACTGGCAAAAATACGACCGTTTAAAAAGACGCGAGACTGAAAAAAAGGGGGAGGGGATAGAGTATCGTACGCCAGGCAGCGCGGTCGAAGGCTGTCTGCTGCCTCTGACCGTCGGCTGGGTGGCGGGCAACTGACACCGCCGTACGACATTTTTGTCAATGGGTGCAGCAGGTCAGATTGTCAGAGGGATGTCACAGGAGGGGATGAACCGCCATTGTCTATCTCCGGTAATCCCAATATTGTGGCTAGTCGGAGGAATGCTCTTTGATATTCGCCCTTCTGGTCTCGGCTCCCTCGCGCCCCGGCCTACAATTCTCTCGTGTGCTAGTTTTCGATTCAAATTGGACATTCATACAAAAGATTAATGATAAAAACGTCAAATTTTTTAACCCTCTTTAGAAGCAAACACATTGCTCTACGACATGAATATCAAGAAATACCAATCCTTTTAAAGAAATAAGGCACAAAAGTGACTTTTTTCACGGAATTGAACAAGAAATTCTCCCGAGCTGAACGGACACGAACGCCAAAGGACCGCACAAAGAAGACCTGAGTTCGTGCACGACCTCAGCCCTTCCTCCTTCGCCTCTCCTCCTCTCTCTCCCTCCCTCCCCCTCCCTCCCTCCCACCTTCGTCCCTCCTCTCTCCTTCCCATTTTACTGACCCTTCTCCATCCCCTTTGGTCTTCCTCTTCTTGCTCTCTTTCCGTCTCTCCTTCTCTCCATCTTTGCTCCTCTCTCCCTCTCCTTTTCCATTCCTACACCCATGTCGTTCCCTCCCTCCTTTTCTTCCCCCATCCCTTCCCACCGTTCCCATCCCTCCTACCACCTTCCTACCCCCTCCTTTTTTTTAACCCCCCCCTCCTCCCTCCACCTTTCCCCCTCCCCTTCATCCACCCCTCCCATCCCTCCTCCTTTCCTCTCCAGATAAAAAAACAACTCACAAAACCGACAGATTAAATAGAAATGAAAAAAAAGAAACTCAATTTAAAAACCCAAATCCCTCCCTCCCATAGGCCTAAATCTAACAGACAGACAGACAGATACCTGAAGTTTAACCAATCGCGTAATGAGCGCACCTGCCAAAAATTATCTCAATTAACGAACTTCCAAAATATTTTTTTAAATCGGAATTTTCACGATGGAGTGAAAACCAGCGAAGGAAGGTCCGGGGGAAGGTAAATAGGCCGATCCACGTGCGTGCTGTTGTATGTGTATTGTTGTGTGTTGTTGTGTTGTGTATTGTTGTTGATGTTGTTGTATGTTGTGTATGGTTTGTTGATGTTGTTTATGTTGTGTATGTGTTGTTGTATGTTGTGTGGTTGTTGATGTTGTTGTTGTATGTTGTGTATGGTTTGTTGATGTTGTTGTTGTATGTTGTGTTGATGTTGTATTGTTGATGTTGTTGTTGTATGTTGTGTATTGTTTTGTTGATGTTGTTGTTGTGTATGTTTGTTGTATGTGTGTTGTTTGTTATGTTGTTGTATGTTGTGTATGGTTGTTGTGTTGTTGTTGTATGTTGTGTATTGTTGTTGATGTTGTTTGTATGTTGTGTATGGTTTGTTGATGTTGTTATGTTGTGTATGGTTTGTTGATGTTGTTGTTGTATGTTGTGTATGGTTTTGTTGATGTTGATGTGTTGTATGTTGTGTATGTTTGTTGTTGTTTGTATGTTGTGTATTGTTTGTGATGTTGTTGTATGTTGTGTATGGTTTGTTGATGTTGTTGTATGTTGTGTATGATGTTTGTTGTATGTTGTGTATTTTGTTGTATGTTGTTGTATGTTGTGTATGTTTGTGATGTTGTTGTATGTTGTTGTATGGTTTGTTGATGTTGTTGTATGTTGTGTATTGTGTGATGTTGTTGTTTGTATGTTGTGTGTTTGTTGATGTTGTTGTTGTATGTTGTGTATTGTTTGTTGATGTTGTTATTGTATGTTGTGTTTGTTTGTTGATGTTGTTGTTGTATGTTGTGTATTGTTTGTGTGTTAAGTTGTTGTTGTTGTTATGTTTTGTTGCAATTGCATGTTGTCTGTTGTTATTGTTGTTGTTATTGCATGTTGTTGTCTGTTGTTATTGTTGTTGTTATTGCATGTTGTCTGTTGTTATTGTTGTTGTTGTTATTGTATGTTGTCTGTTTATATTATTGTATGTTGTCTGTTATTGTTGTTGTTACTGTTATTATTGTTTTGTTTTGTTACTGTCGTATGTTGTTATCAAAGGAAATAATGAGATTTAGTAATAATAATTAAAAAATTAACAAATAGATATCTTGTTCTCTTTTATTTATTTTGTTGTATGTTGCTTCTACTTTTTAGCACAATATAGCAATATATAAACGTGACGTCACAGAATCGCAAAAAACAAAGAAAAACATTTACTAAACAGATTCATTTTTACTGCTTGTTCGAATTTCATTGTTTCACATCAAACTATCCAATTTAATGGAATTAGGAAGGGAGAGGGGGGCGGGGGAGGGGGGGTAAAAACTCCACTCACTAACGAGGCAATTAGCACGGTCGTTTATCGTGGGAGAGGGGGGGGGTGAAGGGGGAGGGAGGGGGAGGGGGGGGGTTTGCAAGCATTCGCCGGAAGTTGCAAGCATTGTTAGGAACAACCATAACCGGCGGGAACAATTTATCTACCCCCTCCCCCCTCCCTCTCTCTCTTCGCCAATACCCCCTACACCCCACCCCCACCCACACCGCATTCTTCCTTAATGTTTTTTTTTTTGTTTTTTTTTTTTTGTTTTTTTTTCAACTTTCTACCCCCTTTCTAGAAGTCAGGTGAACTTTCTTGTTTGTTGTACCTGAAAAATATCTGTACACAAGGCCGATATCACAAATAAACACAAGGCACACATACACGCGCGTGCATAAAGACTACTCTTTCACCCACATATCCACCCACTCACGCAATAACCCACCCACCCACCCACTTACCCACTCACTAACCCACCCACCCCACTCACTCACTCACTCTCTCTCCCTCTCCTCTCTCCCTCTCCACCCCCTCCCGCCTTCAAAGCTACATCAATAAACAAATAAAACAACAAAAAGCCCACAACCCACGCCCACGAACAATGCACTTCTTCAGGACACGCAAACGGAAGCCAAGATGGCGCCGAACAGACACGGTGGGGGTGGGGTGGGGTGGGAGGCAGGAGGAGAAGGAGGGGGGGGGGCGAGCGGAAGACCCTCAGGGCGCGCTGAGCAGCTGCCCCTTACTTCAGAAGTGTGGGGGAAGGGGAGGGGAGGAGGGGAGGGGAGGGGGAAGGGAGGGGGAGGAGAGGAAGGGAAGGGAGGAAAGGAATGAAAAGGGGGTAGGGGGGAGAAACAATAGGAGGAGGAGTGGGAGGGGGAGGGGGAAGGGATAGAGAGAGGGAAAGGGAGAGGAAGGATAGGGGGAAGAGGAAGGAAGAGAAGTAGGAATAACATAATAATAAAAAGAATAAGGATAATAATAATAAGGAGGGGAAGAGAAATGGGATAAGTAGAACCAAAAAAAAAATGGGGGAAAAGAAAGATACGAGAAGGGAAGGGAGAGAAAAAGGAGAAGGGAAGGGGAAATTGAAACCGAAAAGACGGGAAAAAAAAAGACCTAGAACAGAAAAGGGAGAAAAGGGGGGAGAGGGAGAAGAGAGACCGAGACAGGTAAGGCGGTCGACGATGCATCCTCAAGTACCGCATTCGCCCTCATCTCGCCACAAGCATGCAAGCACCCGCCACCGCAAGCAGGAGGAGGAGGAGGAGGAGGAGGAGGAGGAGGGGGTGAAGGTGGGGGAGGAGGAGGAGGAGGGAGGAGGGAGGAGGAGGGGGTGAAGGGTGGGGAGGAGAAGGAGGAGAGGAGGAGGCTAAAGAAGAGGGGAGGGAGGAGGAGGAGGGAGAAGGGAAAAGGAAAAGACAAGAAACAACAACAAGAACAAGGAGGTAGGTATAGGGGTACTGAGGGTCGGGGGAGGGGGGGGGGGAGGGGAAGAAGGCACGTGAGCAGGCGGTAATGGTATTGCTTGGGTTACCAGAAGAGGGTGGCCAAGACCGCATCCCGAATTCTCCGGGAAAGAGGAGGAGGAGGAGGAGGAGGAGGAGGAGGAGGAGGAGGAGGAGGAGGAGGGAGAGGAGAGAGGAAGGAAGAAGAAGAAGAAGAAGAAGAAGAAGAAGAAGAAGAAGAAGAAGAAGAAGAAGAAGAAGAAGAAGGAAGAAGAAGAAGAAGAAGAAGAAGAAGAAGAAGAGGAGGAAGAAGTGAAGAGAGGGGAGGTAGAGTAGGAGGAGGCGGAGGAGGAGCAGGTAGAAGAGCAATAAGAGAATGAGGAGAAGGTAGAGGAGGAGGTGGAGGTAGAGGAAAAGGAAGAGGAAGAGGAGGCAGAAGAGCAGTTGAAGAGTGAGGAGGCAGATGAGGAGAAGAAGGAGGTAGAATAGGAAGATGATAAGAATGAGGTGAACTTTTTTCCCACCATGGCGCCGAGAGAAATATATTGGATATCGAAGCAGCTGGCCATATCAAGAAGACATGATAGAAAAAAAATAAACCAAATCTAAAACGAATATAATTGAAAGATAATAAACCACAATAAAAAAATATACTAACACAAAGAAGAGAACAGAACAAACAAAAAAATAAAAAAAAAAATAAAACAAAATAATACACCAGAAGAAAAAGACACCTATAACAACAATCACAATAACCATAACAACAACAACAACTACAACAACAACAACAACAGAAAGAGCAACCCAACGAGAGTCCAAAGTCAGCGTGATAAGTCAGCATTTTTGCGCAAAAAATACAAAAACAAAGACCCAAAAACATGAGTATTGGAAGCCGTAGCTTACAGGGAAGTAGCACAAGATTTAAGGAAGTAATGGCTACTGACTGTACAAGCTGTTTGGGTGCGTGTGCGTTTGCGTGTGTTTGTTTGTTTGTGTGTTTGCGTGTGTGTCTGTGTGTTTATGTGTTATGTGTTGTGGGGGGGGGTGGAGTGTGGGAAGGTGGAAGGGAGGGAGCGGGGGGGGATAGGGGAAGAGAGGGAGAAAGGGAGGGGAAGAGAGGAAGAGTGGGGGAGGAGAAGAGGGGATGAGAGGGGAGAGGGGAAGAGAGAGAGAGAGAGAGAGAGAGAGAGAGAGAGAGAGAGAGAGAGAGAGAGAGAGAGAGA